CGCCCCCTCCCGAGAAGGCGGGCGCGGCTGCTGCCGCGACCCTCCTGTCGCACGAGGTGGCGCCCCCTGGGGCGTTGCATCCCCCGCATCCGCACGGCCGCACCCACCTGCCCTTCGCCGGCCCCCGCGAGCCGGGGAACCCGGAGAGCTCTGCTCAGGAAGATCCCTCACAGCCAGGAAAGGAAGCCCCCTGAGTCCTTGAGCCCTTCCTTAGAAGGGATGGAGGTTTAAGCGGAATAATAATAATACAAGTTAAAATACCCTTAATGTTTTTAAGGGAGGAAGCGTGATAGATGCAGGACAGGCTTAAGGGGGGGAAACAGGTGTTTTGTGTACATTTGGAGTTCCTGTTTTGCTCAATTCTCACCACCCCATCCTCCGCACACTAATACCCCCCCTGCCCCCCACATACACCAGCTGTTAAAGATCCTCGCGATAGCTATTGGTTCTTTTTTCTTTAGTTCCCTTGATAAGTTTTGCCTCCTTTTAGGCCATCTTCCAATATCTTTTAAAATGTGGAACCTAATTCTAGAGAAAGTAAGAAGGGTCTTCTCTGTGGGTGACCTCATTGAACCAGGAAGGGGAGAAGGTGCCAAGTTCCTTGCCTGGAGTTGATAGAGGACAGCGGGTAGTCTTTACATAGAGCCTTGTTTCAGGGCTGCCCTGCTTGTTTTAGGATGAGGTCCACAACACATTGAGGATCTTTTTAAGCTCGGCATTTTGAAAGGCATATATTTTTCAAAGAAGTGAGGATACAGTTGCCCACACTGCGACCTATTCTGAAGTGGTTAAAATGGTATCTTTTACTAACTTGCACTTGTTTTGAGAGACACAGAGTTGGGCCATCGTCAGCACCAAGTCAGGGAAGATGGATGAAGAAGCCCAGAACCATTCTTACCATCTTGTGCTTGCACTTTATTGAGAAATTGACCATGAATCAGTTGGTTCATCTTAATTCTTATCTCCCTTTCTCTCTCTCCCTCTTTCTCTCTCTCACACACACACAAATAAATATATGTTACATATGTTACATATATGTTGCATATATATATATATATCTGAAGTGCATCTATTCTCATTTAATCCATCTTGTTTCTAAATTTCTGTAATCTTACTGTAAAAAAAAAACAAAACAAAAAGTGCACTGAACTTAAAAAAGAAACAAGTCCAAACTGATTTATCCTGTATTCTTGTTAGGTCATAAAAGTGGAGGAAAGCTTGAAACTGGTCAGTTGTGGTTGGAAATGCTGTAAAGATGTGGAAAGAAGCCCTGTAAGGCCTTCCTATCTCCAACTCTATGTATTTTCTGGAGACCAAACCAGATACCAGATAATCACAAAGAAAGCTTTTTAAATAAGGCTTAAACCAGGACCTTGTCTAGATATTTTTAGTTTGTTGCCAAGGTAGCACTGTGAGAAATCTCACTTGAATGTTATGTAAGGGGTGAGACACAACAGTCTGACTGTGAGTGAAGAAAATATCTGGGTCTTTTAGTCAGTTTGGTGCATTTGCTGCTGCTGTTGCTACTGTTTGCCTCAAACGCTGTGTTTAAACAACGTTAAACTCTTAGCCTACAAGGTGGCTTTTATGTACATAGTTGTTAATACATCCAATTAATGATGTCTGACATGCTATTTTTGTAGGGAGAAAATATGTGCGAATGATATTTTGAGTTAAAATATCTTTTGGGGAGGATTTGCTGAAACATTGCACTTTTGTTACAATGCTTATGCTTGGTACAAGCTTATGCTGTCTTAAATTATTAAAAAAGCAAATAAATAAATACTGTCTGCAAGAAACCAGCTGGTTTAGAAAAGTTTAGTATATGAAGATAAACTAGAAATTATCTTTATATTCTAGTATTTTCAGCACTCCATAAATTCTATTACCTAAATATTGCCACACTATTTTGTGACTTAAAAATTCTTACTAAGGAATAAAAACTTTCTATATGATATGAGATTGTCTAATAATTAAAAAAAGACATAATGGATGCACAGTTAGCTTTAAAGTATTTGTAAGTATAAACACAAAAGTCATTAAGGTTCTCAGATATACAATTTTTTTTTTTGTCATTGGCCTGATATCACATATTTCCAATCTCTTGCAAGCCTGCAGGCTCTGGCTGTGTCTACTTGCTTATTCCAGTGTATCCTAATGAAAAGCTCAACAGAAAAACCTACCAATAACTTGCATGGTTTGTTTATGTTCAACCCAATTTGCTCATGTTTTTATAATTGTCAAGATTTTCACTTTCTGTCTGTGACATCAGGCAGCCTCTTCTACGCAGTCTGGTGTTTTCCTCTTTTACTGGGGTCCTGATTAAGTATATTACCACCTCGGGATGCTTAATTTCTCCAAGTATTTTGATTCATTAACTTTTATAAAATAACTCTGTTATGGATGAAATAAGTTCATCATGGAATTCAAGAAACAATTTCTAGACCTTTACCATATTTATTATCAAACATGTGACTTGATACAGATGAAGTGAAGGATTGTCAGTGTTTAATTCCTGTAGTGTCCTCAAACTCCTAGATTTGTGAAGATAGTGAAAATGATAGCCTAAATTTATAAGACATAGTGAAAGTGCTCCCTCTGCTGACATTATGGAAACTCAACTGCAAGTTACTGATTATGGGGCTGGAAGGAATGGCTCATCCAGTTCCCTGAATTTTATAAGAAAATGAAGTCCAGAGCTATTGGTATCTTCCCAAGGTGACATAGCTACCTACAGCCAGCACTAGAGGCCAGGCCTGCTGTGGTCCTCAGCCAGTGAACTACTTTCCACTGAAGCATCTTGGTCCAGGTAAGATGAATTTGGGCAACATTCCTGAAACTAAATGAGTAAACCATAGGAACAAAGGAAATAAAAAAGAACCTTAGAAAGCTCTTTAAGATTTTTGAGCATTACTGATTTATTAAACTTTAGAAGGATAGTTTCTCCAGAATCATGGAGAAAGCAGCATTTTAAATATTTTGAACTACATTTGAATGCTATTATTACAGTAATATTAGTTTCATAATTTTCAAAAAAAGATTCAAAGTAAATCAGAAGTTAATAAAATGTTTTAGCATTTGTTTAATTTTTGTGTGATAAAATAGAAAAATTTAGGATTGGATCAGACTTGATAGATCAGTTTAGTCCAAATGCCTTGATAGCATCAGCATAATAAAATTAGGACAGAAATGCAAATGCAAAGTAATATTGTCTGTTGCACTTAAGAATATAATTTTTGTTCATTCATTAATTTTAATGGATTGAAATCTGAATTATAATCCACTAAGGAGCATTCTATATCTTCAGTGGTGAAATTTCAGCTAAATTGCTTTGTGGATCATGTGAATTTCCAATTTTAAGAAAAATATGAATCTTGAGAATTCCAATGAATTTTAAATACATATATTTTTCAACAGACGTTATAGTGAATTGATAAATGTCCTATTTCCCAAAGAACTAAACTTAAGCACATTTTAAAGGCACTAGCAACTATTGCTATGAAAACATGACTGGAATTTTAGTTCCTATCATTGTGAAACTACTTTTCATTTAGTTCTCTGTAACTTACTATATAGGCTGTAACTTTGGTTATTGCCTGTCACCTGGGATTTGTTCAAATCTTATGTAGAAGGAGGCTCAGCTTGTTCTTGTCTGTATCACAAGTCAATTATTGACTTCTCCATGGGAGGTGATTGCCAGTGGAGACCTTGCAAAGATATGGCTGGGCAAACAGACGAAAGCCTTTTACTTTAGATAAAAACGAATAGAGCTCTCATGAATGAATTAAGACAAGTATAATGCCAAGAGCTGGCTGTACTATTGTGATAAAGGTATTCTACTTCAGAGAGCAGTCTAATACTTTAGGGTTTTTTTTAATTCTGAAATTTGGGACTTTCAGATTAATTTACTTAGGCCTACCCATTGTTCTCACTATGTTATTTTAAATAAGTTCAAAGTGGATTTGCAGTGCATGCTAATGTCCCAGCTTTTCAGGGGAGAGTTTAAGTAGGGGATTGACATGGAAAATTATCACATATTTTCTGTGATTAAAATGGGATTTACATTAAAAAACATGTGCAATTCATGTACTTTAAAAATATGCTATTTTTAGGAATTGTATATTTATCTTAGAATTTCTTGTACTTGTTCAATGAAAATTCCTCTCAAATATAAAACTATGCTTTTTTTTTTTTACAAACTGATACTTAAAAATTCTAAATTCAGTGATATCCCACAAAACAACAGTTTAAACAAACTGTGTTCAAGTGTCAATGCCATTTTCTTTTTTAAAATCTTACTGGAAAACATACTAAAAAGTTTTACACATATCCTCTTACATGTTTTTGGAAAAAATACCCTGAACATATTAAACCTTTCTCAATTCAGAGTCGCCATTATAAATATCACTCTATACTCTTGAAGAGTATTTGCTCCTGTACTGATTTTTATTGGGTTCTTACAAACTGAAAACTTATCGAAACTTATCCAAAGTTTTCAGTTTCTTTATTTACAAAGCCAGGCTGTCAGCTGTCACTTCTTGATGGTCAGAGTGCTACCTCCATCCCTTATCTAATTTGCTACCTCTGATTTACTGTGGGCTAGGAGACCATTTAAACAAAACCACATCCATCTGAAATGTGTCTAAAATTAGAATAAATAGATTCTAACAGAGGACCTGAGGGGCTCTTCTATACATAAATTGTGTGAGTTTGTAGACTCTTCTTTTTATCATTGTGTCCTTTAACTTCCAGATTCTCAGCTATGTTCCATATCAGACTCTTTATTCAAAAGCTTCAAATACTTCTTGTATGTCTCTATCATTTTCTTACATAAAAATAAAAGCAACTTGCTAACGGTTTTAGTCCACAGCTAACAATAAATTTTCATGTCAAAACAAATTATTTGATTGAACACTTCTTTCTCTCATGTTGGTTAGAATAGGGGACCAAGGGACATTTATGAAAACAGATTGAGCATTTTGACTCATAGATGACCCTAGCTCCTGCTTCTCCAGTGTAACTTCTCCCTGACCTTGGGCTTTAGGGGTGATGATCCAGCAAAAGCAGTCTGACAAACTGGCAGGATGGGTGTGTAGGCCTGGATGCTGCTTCTGTATTTAGATACACCTACTGCAGAGCCTCTGGGGAGTGGTTTCAGACTCATTGATTGTGGCATGCTCCTTTTCTTTTGGACTTAATAAATAGCATCGGGATTCTGATTTTTGCTCGTGTGGGGATGGGGATTGACCAGAGATCCAACCCCTGGCCTCTAGCATGCCAGGGAAGCACTATACCACTGGCCTATACCTGTAACTCCAAACATTTGTTTTGCTCTAATTTTATGCAAGATGCTGTAGTACATGCTGGAGAACCAAAGAAAATCTCAAAATCTCAAGCTCCTGAAACATTCTAAAACAAATTATATTGCAATGTAGTGTTGGAAGGGTTGGACACAAAGGTCAGGTGGGAAGAAAGGTTGCTAACTTCATATAGGTAGATCAGAGGCAGTCTGGGGAAGTAGCTAGGTTTTACAGAAGAAACAGATAATAAGTTCATGAGATCATGTCCAAGAAGGTAGCTCTGGCACAGACCTATCTAATGCTAAGCTAATCTGCAGGGACAATTTAATATTATATCTGCACTGAGGTCTGACCAAAGATTTCCTAACAGTTTGGTCTCTTTAGAATTTGACTGCCCTGGGCTGGGGTTTTGGGCTCAGTGGTAGAGTGCTCACCTAGCACATGTGAGGTCCTGGGTTCAATCCTCAGCACCACATAAAAATAAATAAAAGAATTTGACTGCCCTCATGGCTCTCACCACATCTGCTCCTGAGGATCTGAACCATGAACTGGGACTAGGGAGTCATGACATTTCCTACTACAATGGGAGATATGGTACCATCCATCACATAGTATCTTATGCAGAGAAATAACAACAGGTATCTGACAAGCAGCTCAGTCTCACCTCCTCCATGAATCTGTTCTACAAGAAAAGCTAATGGTGATTTCTTTCTTTTCACATAAGGGAGTGGTGATCATGTTCTTCACTTAGTACTCACAGGGGAAATGAGAAAAACAGCAACTCACAGAGAGGCATGGCATCCTAAGGCTTTTTTTTTTTTTTTTCAAAAATCTCTGAGAGGAAGCTGAAACTAGAAACTTATCCAAGGTCACAAAGTCCAATAAGTGACAGAACCAAGGTTGGTGCTAGATTTGTTAGTTTGGATCCTACTACTTTTTATACTATTACAAGAGATAGTGGTGAGGAAGGCTGAGGATTTCTCTTGAAGTTGAACTAGTCCATGTGAGATCCTAAGTGCCAAAATATAGTTGTTGGTTGAGGCAGGAAGATTATCATGGTAATAATCTTTCTAAACTATGGCAAAGAGTCATGCAATAATCATAATAGAGATTAAATTCTGCCAAAAATAATTTTCAGTCTTCTACAAAGAACAACACTATTCTGCCGTCTGCTCACTTTGTAGGCCTCCAAAAATGAGCCCTTCCTGGTCTGGAAGTCCCCACTTGATCTGGTGGACTTTCCATCCCTATTTCACTCCTCTGTAAATGTGTGGTCCTCCTTAAGCTCAAGCGTTTCTCCATGAAAGAAGGAACCCTGGACCAAAATAACGTAGGAAACTGGAAAGAGGAAACCTGTAGAATTGAGCAAGTAGGAAAGAAGGGCCATGTGCTACAGTTTTTATATAGGGTATTTTTAGGGCGTTGTGAACTTTAGCTAGAGTTTCAATTTTGGAAGCTTTTCCATATGGGTGTGCACAGAGAATATGATGTGCTGAACAGAGATAACTGAGTATCCGCCAGATAGTTCTGTAATAAACTTTGCTTCCATATGCGGCTTTGCAGCTTCCTTACTGTGATTGGAAAATTGGCTTTCACAGAAGGACTGAAGCCTAGGTACAACTTCTGGAGACCTCAGTTACTTAGAGCAGCCAGAACACAGGCTCTAACTTGACGATTCTCTTTCTGATATGTTAAGAAGGATTTAGTTTTCAAGCATATATCATCTTGAGGAAGGCTTATCTACCTAGCTATAACGCAGCTGTGCAATCTGCATGTGGCTAAACAGATAAGAGATACCCCTGTGTAGTACGTCCACACCCGAGGATCTCTGCAGACCTTCCCAAGTGGGTGCCACACTGCATCGACGGCTGACCTCTGCGTTCGTAATGCACTCGTTTCAAAACTGATAAACCAACCCTCGCTCCTTAAACAGCCGTTTAAGCCTTGCGTGGTTGGGGAACGAAAGTGGGGGGGGGCGGATAATGTCATCTGTCTTGAAAGCTTCACGGAGCTCTAGGATTGGAAAGAGAGAAGCATTCTTAGGTTGCCTAGCGATAAAGCCGCCGATGATATCATTCTCCCGGAGGTCGGCCTCCCGCTTCCCTACGCTCCCCGCCCGGCTTTCCTGCCTCCCTCCCCTCTCCGTCTCCCACGCCTGGGTTCAAAGTACAGCCGCACCGGGTGAGCGGGTGAGCAAGCCAGAGCCGGACACGGCGCGTCACGTGCGCCCGCACATGTCGGGGCGCACGCTGAGCGGCACGTGAGAGGAGGCGAGGCGGGGGCGGGGAGGCGCTGGCTGGCTTCTCTCCGCGCGTGCGCGCTGCCGCGCTGCGCCCTCGGCTCGCCAGACTCGGGCAGACGGTAGCGGGCTGGCAGGGGCTGGGGGTGCGGGAACGGAGTGGGACGCGGGAGGAGCTCTGCCGACAGCTGCGCCCCTCCCTTGCCCTCCGCCTCTCAGCGGGCCGGCCTTGGGTAGTCACCCCTCCCGAATTAAAGCTGGCGCTTACTCTCGGGACTCCTCGAGCCGTTCTGACACAGCAGTTTTCGAGCGGCTCTCCCGGGGGCCGGTTAGAGGAAGGTCGGCAGCGGCCTCGGGAGAGCCTGGAGGCGGAACGCCAAACCTGGGCTGGCCGCGACCGGGCGGGACCTGGATGAGTCCTGACCCTGCGCGAGGACTCGGGGAAGCCCTGGCGGCGGTAGAGGGGTGGGGTAGGGAGAAAGTGCTAGAGCTGGGCTCTGGGCAAATGAAGTGTTGCAGTACCAGCTGGTTGGAGGCCGTGCTTTTCATTGGTCTCACGTGCAGTTTTGCAAATGGCAAAATTTCCTAGGCAGTAGGAATTTGTTTGTGATAAAAATATATTAAGGCTTTCCGTTCAAAATAAATGAAATGATTTTTTTGGCGTCGATGGATTTTGCATGGTATAAGAGAATGAAGAAAACTAATGTAGCCAGCGGCTGAAGATGCATTTTTAAAAGTTACGTATTTTCAAAAATTATGTACAAGGCCCTTAGGAAAAATGATCAACTTTCAGATTTTCACGTTTTGAAGTGACCATGTTATTTGATTTCACACCTCTCAAGACCTTTATAAATGGTCTAAATGAATAGTTCGGAGGAATTTGGGGTTCCTAATGTCGACTGGATAATTAAGAATTTCCTGGGCTGTTGACACAAGTAGGGAACTCCACTACCCCCTGCAAATATGGTTTTGGTCATGTGATTGAAAGGGATCTCGGGTGTTGCTAGCAATATTTGGACAGGTCACGTGCAGGTTTTTGCTAAGACATATAGAGTGGTTGTAAACGCTGCAGTCTAAAGGTTGCTCTGAGTGGCACCCTGGAGACAAGACTTTTGTAAGCTAACAGACATTAGCCAAACACAAGGCTTCCATTGTTTATTGTTTGCCTTTTAATGATATATATGCTTGCTGTCCCATAGGTTAATTTGGAATAACACGCCCCCCACCGCATTAATCTGCATGAAACAGTTTGTTTACAAAATTCTGAAAGCTGAAAAAGCGAAGGTAAACTTCAAACATTCATTCAACATATAAATGTTAGGCTTCTACTATACCAGGTTGGGGGATACAGTGGGATTTTTTTTTTAGTTGGTTTGTTGAAGAAAGAACTGAAGCTTTAGTCTCATCAGTTCTTTCCCTTTTCTCTCTCCCTTCTTCCCTTCCTTGATTTCTTTTAAACCAACAGAGCAGGCTTAATCTTTCCCAGAATATTTTACTTGTTCATTTTTCTGCTTGCAACACTAGGCCCCAGGATATCTGGATAGCTAAATCCAATGCCCCCTATCCCCCAACCTTTTTTAACGTCTCTGTTTGAATGACATTTCTTCGAGAGGGGCATTCCCTAAGCTGCCCGTAGGTAATATATAAAATATCTCTCCATCATTTTCAATTTTTTTTAATTTTTAATTTTTTAATTGTATATGAACATGATAACTTTATTTTTATGTGGTGCTGAGGCTCCAACCCAGCACCTCCTGGGTGCCAGGTAAGCCACAACTGTGCCACTAAGCCACAACTCCAGCCCCCTCTCTCCATCATTCTTTGTTTTACTGTTTTGTTAAATTTCATGGTAGGTATCACCCCTTACATAATATATGTATAAACACACATATAATTTATTGCTTGTCTCCCCCACTAGAATGATAACCAGGGACTTTGTTTTGCTCATTGTTCTGGGTGTAATGCAAGAATGCTACCTAACAATCAGTGAATAAATTTCTTATGGAAATAAATATATATTGATTTTCATTAATACTTTCGAAGTGAATAAACACCTCTGGCAACCACTTCAGCTTTATCACTTCCAAAGACAACAACACACAACTTCTCAAAACTACACATTCCATGCTGAGTCTGCTTTCTCAACCCTAGTGAGCTCATTATAACCCAGGCACTGGCTAAATCAAAGACAACTACACAGGGAAGTAAACAGTGGTAAGGAGGCAAAAACCGTTCACATTCCATACCTGCAAATGGAAAAGATTCAGCTTGACTTAGAAGCTGATTGAACTTTTTTTTTCTCCATAAAGTTTTGGATATAATACTGAAGGACTAAGAAAGTTCCCTTAAAGACTGAGTTA